GGCTAATAACGTAATTAACGTGCCTCTTTATTCCCCCGGGCCCACACCTCCTCAAAACTCCATCCCACGTTATATATACGTACAAAAAGCATACGGATCTCCACCCCCATTTTTATTCTGCTTTCGCACTCTAAAAATTCATCTCTTTCATTTCAATTTCTCAAAAATCGCAAAAGCAATTTGCTTCACTCACCATTTCCCCAGATCTCATCCTGTCAATCGGGCCGCCGGAGATTTCAGATCGAATTCGTGTTCTTCCAAGGTTAATCAATCTCTCTCTCTCCCTCTCTCCTCCTATTAAGATTTTCGAAATGATTTTGTGTTAGTAATTTTTTTTTTTCTATCAGTTGAATTACAGCTCGAGATCTTTTCAATCGACTTGGATTTTTGTATGTGTAGATCTGGAAATGGATTTTTCTCTCCATATATATGTGTTTAGATCTTATTTATGACTGTGAATTTTCATACCTATGTGTGTAGAACGTGTTGGTGTTAGTGTGGGTAAAGGTAGTTTTTTTTTAGTAGCTATGATGCATTGTTGGTTTGATTTGTGTATCGGTATTCTGCGTTTGAGATCGTTGTTGCGGAGATGGAAAATGTAGTGAAATTGAGCCAAAATTTAGAACTTCAAGTTATTAAAGAGTAGTAATTTAATTTTTAATAAATACAGGAATCCTCTTGAAGCCTAGCATTGTTAAACCTTTCCAATCATAAACTGCGGTGTAATTTGAATTCGGGATTTTCTGCTTAGATGCTGTATTGAATGACCGTTGAATTTAGAAGTTCGAGTTGGGAAGTGAGTTATTCGATATTTAGTATGTCTAGCAAGTTAAATTTAACCGAAGCTGAAAATCTTGGTATAGTATCTGGATGTAGTTACAAAACCTACATGGAAAAAAATTATACCATGTGTGCGGATCTTTAGTTAAACGAAGCAGCATTTAGGCAAAAAAACGCAGTCTATCTTGATTCCAGTTCACTTTTTACTTCTTAGACGCCCTCGTGGTCATCTTGAGAGCATTATTATCTTTGCCCATTGCCTGAGAGGGCAATGTCAATGCAATTGGGGGTAGTTCGCGGAGTATCTCGGATGATGTTGATGACTTTAATACCATTTATTATAATATGAACCTTATCCAATGAACTGATTATTAATTAATATCTAAGAACCCTTGTATGTTTGTTGAAATCGTTGATTAGAGCGCGAAGGAAGAGATTTCAGTAAACTTTGGCTTCATTTATGGACCTGTATATGTTTCCTTATGCCGCTCTTGTATTTTCCACTCCATATCAGTAGAAACTCTTGCATCTTTACCTATTTTGTGTTTTCGGTTTGCATGTTTTTCTCTTTCTTCATTTTCATGTGATTTTTTTTTGAGAGAACTTCTATTTACCACTTCTATGTTTTTTAGTCAAATGGAAATTTTGTATTCCAGATGGTTAGTTTTCTAGTTGTCTTTATTAAGGTTAAGGAGCATTGTGAATTTGAAAACTCTAAATTATTGTTTAGTGTCAGTCTGATTCTAATTGATCTCCACGTTTCTATTCATCTGCTCAAATATACACTAACTTTTTGATAATGATGTCACATTTGCAGCGGTTCATATTTGTAAAGAATTTGCGCCACCATGTGGAGATTCAAACCCTTCGCCCATAAAGAGCAAACTGGTCTTGAAGGTCGCGTCATTGACATCGGTAATTTCAAAGTTCAGGTACGGAATGCCATTGCAGAGGGTGGATTCTCATGCGTTTACTTAGCACGAGATGCAATACATGGCTCCAAGCAGTACGCGTTAAAGCACATCATATATAGTGATGAAGAGTCAGAAGAGCTGGTGAAGAAGGAGATTTTAGTTATGAAAACACTAAAAGGGCATCCTAATGTTGTCACCCTTCATGCACATGCTATCTTTGACATGGGTCGTACCAAAGAGGCTCTTCTTCTCTTGGAATATTGCGAAAAGTCTCTGGTTAATGTGCTGGAGAACAGAGGAGCTGGTTTTTTCGATGAGAAGCAGGTCATTACAATTTTCAGGGATGTATGTAATGCTGTCTTTGCAATGCATAGTCAGACCCCTCCTATCGCCCACCGGTAATTGCTTTTGTCGTAGTCACTTTTTATTTTATTTTATATATATATGGTGTTGGTGTATAGAAATGCTTATGACGGACGACTAGTGCATTTTTATGTATCTTTACCAATTGTTTAGGTTGGGCAGAAAACATATCCTGAAAATTTACCATGATTTTTTTCTTTTTTACTCTCCCTGTTTTGGTAGTGATATAGATTGCTTTATGTTTCTGCTTTGCTGAAGAGACTTAATTTGTTTTTGTACTGGTACGGAGATTTGAATTTCTTTTTCTAATTTGACTTATTGCATCGTGTAGAGATTTAAAGGCTGAGAATCTTTTGTTGGGGTCTGATGGCTTGTGGAAGTTGTGCGATTTCGGTAGTACATCTACCAACCATAAACGCTTTGAGAAACCCGAAGAAATGGGAATTGAGGAAGACAATATAAGGAAATACACAACACCTGCATATAGAGCCCCCGAGGTTGATGGATTTTTTTATCAAAATTTTATTTCTTGCACCTTTTTTCATGGTATAACTGTTGATTATCCTCCTCATTCAATGTTTTAGATGTGGGATCTTTTTCGAAGAGAACTTATAAACGAGAAGGTAGATATATGGGTAAGTCGACCGCTCCATGTATTATGTTGATTAGACCGAGAAGAATCAAGAACATTCATGAATGTTTATACTAAGCTTTGTAATTTGCAGGCACTTGGTTGTCTCCTTTTCCGTATATGTTACTTCAAGTCAGCATTTGATGGCGAATCAAAGCTCCAAATTCTAAACGGGAATTATCGGATCCCGGATTTACCCAAATACAATACATTGCTTATAGACCTTATCAAAGACACGCTTCAATCTTCACCCAACGACAGACCAGATATCACGCAGGCAAGCATTTCGCTTGATTGGCCATTCATCCCCATGAACTTAGGTTAGTTGTAGATTTTCGCGCCCATGGAAAACATGAGTGCCAATGTTGCATGTATATTTACGGTTCCTTGTATTTGCAGGTCTGGTTTCGTGTTAATACTCTTTTACCAGATGGGCTGCAAAAGTCATTACCCGATGGACCTACAGAAATGCCTCAAAATAGTGCTGATGTGCTTGGAGGTACGAGGATATCGGATTTTTAACATGTACTTAATTGCATTTAACGGGCTCTTATAATTACTCTCTTTCTCTAGGAATGGCAAAGCCTGCAAACAAGTCTAGTCCAGTCCCTCGTAGATCTCCTCCTCCACCACCCTCAACCGAAGCTCCTCGAAATGTGACATCAGCGTCAAGTAATCCAAGAACAGACGAAAACACCGGTCCAATGGGGGCATTCTGGACCACTCAGCACGCGAAAGAATCAGAAGCCAGAGATGATAAAACCAGGCCAAAATACGACGAAGATACCTCAAACCGTAAACCAACTAAAGATTTAAATTTGTTTCCAGATAATTTGAACCAGAGTAACGAAAGATCAAAGCAAGCAAAACCAGAGGTCACCCCACCCTCTCATAACCATGCATTCAACGCCTTTGTCGCTGAATTCAATAGTAATAAACAGAGTCCGAGCAACAACAGTAAGAAACCGGAGAAGGAAGAGGTATTAGAGGCCGAGGTAGAAAAGCTGAAGGAGCAGCTAGCACTCATCAGTGCAGAAAAGACGGAAATAACCTCCAAATACGAAAAACTCTCAGCAATTTGTAGGTCACAGCGTCAAGAGATTCAAGAACTTAAGCAGAGCCTAGCTGCGAGAACTCCATCACCGAGTAGGGATTCCTCGAGAAACCTAGTTTCTCCTGTAAGCCAATCAGCTACAACCACGCCGGTATTTTTTTCTATAATTTTGAATTTCACTTCTAATATTTTAATTTTTACCCGTATGTTTAGTTTTTTATTTTTTTATTTAATTTTTTGAAACAGAATGAGAAGATTGAAGGAACGGTGTGGGAACTTCAACAAGGGTTGTTTGACCGAAGTTCTAAAAGCTCAGACTCTCAACAGTGGCAGGCTTTCTCTGATGACAAGCCATCATCGGCTCCTAAATCTGTGAGGACAAGAAACACTCCGCAGAATAATCAAAAAGTCGAAACAAACAGTTGGGGATTCGAAACAGAGAGTTTTAAGGTTGTCCCAAATGCTGCGAGCTCAAATGTAAGTGTGCCTGTCGGTGGATTGAATGTCTCTCAGCGCTTTGTCGAACAAAAGAGCAACAAGGGTAAGTTGGATGCTCCGCCTGCTGGATGGGCCGGTTTCTAATAAAAATGAATATGTACGAGAAAAAAAAAAGTCGATATATAGACAATATAAAAAAACAGAAGACAAAAGGTTGTTGTTTCAGGAGTTTGTTTTTTGTGCTGTTGAAATTGTTGTGTACTATATAAACGCGACCGCGACGGAGTTGAATATATGCTTCTTTCGTGCCCTTTCTATTTAATCATGGAAATATTGATTTTGTGCTTTACAAGGGTATATTCTTCACTCTGGATTTTTCGATTCAACACATTGAAATATTTTGATTATTTGTTGAAACAAATTATATATCGTTGCGTTACTCAAGAATGTTGTTTGATTTATTTAAAAAAGGCTGAGTAATTGAAGTATAAATTACAACTGTAATATGACAGCATTTAGCAAGGTAAAACAACTTAGTTCTTATAAGTTATATCTGATAAGAAGCTTTAGGAGTTGATAAGCTCTTATATGTTAGTTTAAAGATTAAATTTTAAGTTGTTTGGATATGGTGAGTGTAATATTATCTTGGGTAAATTACGGCAACCTCCCTGAGGTAAGGGCAAAATACGAAAATACCCCTTATGTTCGGTAATTATCGGAAATTGTAATTCCCGATAATTTTATATACCATTCCGATTATGTTCCAAATAAATTCGAAAAAATCAAAAATCAAATTTCAAAAATTGAAATAAAAAGTACGGTTCCAAATTCTGATATTTCCGTATCGGAATTGGCGGAATTCGGAAATTCCATTATGATTTCCACCCCTACATATACTAATTTAATTTAGGGATAACTGCAATAGCACAAAAGAAAGAGATTCATCGAAAGCCAGATCATCATTATAGAAAAAAAGGGAAGTAAATTGATTTAATATTTTCAAATAATATTTCGCACAATTTGAATGATAATCAAAAGTTGATTCGACTTAGGAAACATTCCTTAATTACATATATAGTTTAGAGTGCAAGTAGAAGAAGTAGATTCGAATTAGGAAGTAAAATTTGTATATGAAATAGAGATGTCCAATTCTAATAAGGAAACCCAAATACTTCCTTATTTATATAATATAATTACAAAAAAACCATTGCCCTACTTGCTTATATATACCCATAAGCACCCCTCCATTAATCTTATTAAGAGAAAACAAATCACTAATTCATAAGCATTAATTAATTAAGCAGATTAATGGAGATGAAAGAGTACTACTCTAAGAAGACAATTAGGTTGTTTGGAGTTGATATTCCTGTTCATCCAAACACCCCCCAAGAAGATCCTGTTACACCACCGGAATCTTCTTCTTCTCCTCCGGCCGCCGTTAGCAGCCCAATTAGTACGGTTTTGTCACTTTATAATAATCAAGAAAAGCATGTCCCAGATCATGAATCTCTTGTTCCTTCCGCCGCCGCCGCCGGAAGCGGCCTGTCTTCCGACGAAGTTCCCGCAAAATCTCCCGCCAAGAAAACGGCGGCGCCGGCTGCTCCTCTGGAGGAGTTTCCTGAATTCGACATTATCGATTATTATCCCATGATGATGGTGTGTGGTGATTTTCGTCCAGTTATCTTCTTCTCCTCACCGGAAGAAGTTGGTTGTTCTTCACGTGGTGGACCACCACCCATAATCAACTACGACGTCGGTGCAACTTCTGATCCAAAGGCGGATAATAAATCCTCATCAGATTTATTAATAATAAGAAGCCCCAGCCCTGACGACGTCGTTTCAAGAAAACCCCAGTCCAAGAAAAGGGTTTCTGCAACTACTTATACTCATGACGTCAGCCCTTCAGTAAAGAAGAAGGCCAAATTAATATCCAATGAAATTGTACTCTACACTCCAAAGCCACTTCAATCTTTTCCTCCGTCGATGAATCGTCACCATGACGTCAGCCCTAATAACCGCCGATCGGAAGAAATGAAGAAAGTGAAGGGGAAATTAATAATAACCGACCAAGAGAATGTTTCCGAACCAGCGCCTGTACGGAAGAAGAGAACAATTAGGCGCCGGGATAAGACTTTATTCGTCCGCGGCGAGTCGTCCTCGTCATCGTCGTCATCGATACCGGATACTGTTCTTCCACTAGAGGAGATTCCAGGTATGATTGAGACGATCGAGTCACACAACGGAAGTAAACCGGTTTTCTTGTACCACAAGAAACTCGAAACATCCGATGTGTCGGACCACCTCAACAGATTGAACATCAACACCCCTGAAATCTTGATGAGTCTTCTGAGAGACGAAGAGAGGATAGCTGTAACCGAGACGAGAATAGGAGTTCAATGTATCGGGATCGATAGAGGAGGCAGATCGTTTAACCTGCACTTGGGGAAGTGGCCTAGCTTGCAGATGATTGTTATTAACAAACAATGGGGCAGGATAGTCAACGCGAACAACGCGGTCAAAGGCGATTGGGTTGAAATTTGGGGGTATCGAGTAAACGGAAGCGACGAGCTTCGTTTGGTGATCTACTTTAGGAAACAAGAAGAAATTGATCAAAGGATGATTGCAGCTGCTGCAGCCTCAACCAGCAGCAGTAGTAGTTCTACTAATTAATGGAGGCACTGCACCATCTCCAATTAGCTAATTAATTATGAATATTAGGGCTTGTTTTTGATTTTTTTTTATTTCTTTTGTTTGTTTGTTTGTTAATGATTAATATGTGCTTTATAGTTTTATCTTCAATGGCAAAGGAAGTGAATTTTTTTATCTTAATGCATGAGTTTCTTCGTTTTCATCAAGAACATTGGTTTATACATATGTCAATAACATAACGTAAAATGGGCGGGAAAAGAAGTTCAAAAACAAAAAAGTCAAAATCAGATTTAGGAGTCAAAATGGATGAAATCGGGATTGAATTAAGGTTTAAATCAAGAATTGATGCGATTTATATCTAACGGTGCAAACATCATTGGTGGTGGTGGTGGAGAAGAAGATTATCAAGAATTATTATTTGGAGATGGAAATGGTATTTGTTTTCTTGGTGGCTTACTTGGAGGATGACTTCTCAATGCCGCCCGTGAATAAAGATTTACCGGACAGTGTTAATTTTATTTCTCGGTTTCTTTCCGCTTTCCGTAGTGCAATTTGCTTTTCTTGATTTGTTTTGTTGGAGTTTGAAGACAATAAAAGATTGTGCAAATGAGAAGCTTCTTGATTCAGATGATATGTTCATATTTTGTGGTGTAACCATGGTTTGCCGGAACGGAATGGAAACGGTGCCCTCCGTTTCGGAAACCATAAACGAACCGTTCCACAACGAAAAACGTTGCAAAACAGGCAAAGAAACGGCATTGATATGCATGTCCTAGTATTGTAGTTTGTGTTTTCATTAGCGTTTTTCTGCAAGCACTTTTGGACGAGTACTTTTCTGCAAGCACTTTTTGCACGAGCACTTTTCTGCATTATTTTGTACGTCTATGTTTGTGCATGTTGTTTTGTGTGAGTATTTTTGTACATGTTTGTTGATGAGTATTCATGTCCTTGTATTACTTTCTTGTTTTCGTTAGCTTTTTTGCGCGAATACCTTCGTGCATCGCTTTGTACGTGTATGTTTGTGCATGTTGTTGGAACACCGAGGCAAGGCTATAATAAATTGGATGGTCGCGGTTGTCACGCATACCGGAACGGCCTGGAACGGAATTGGAACAGTATGAATGATCATAATTTACTTATTCAAGTCTCCAACGACAATTTAAGGATCTCAACCTAGGATTTTTAACTTTTAATTTAAAAGTTCTAAAAATTTACAATTAGCTCCAACACTTCAAATGTAGTTTAATTTGGGGCTATGGAATGACGTGTCATGATTACAAGTAAGTTTTTTAAGTTTTCAAAATTTGCAATATAGTCCTTATTGTTTTTTTATTTCTCTTAAAGTAAAGATATAGCTTCATAATTTACATTTTCACCCTTAATTATATTTCTCAAGGTTTAAAAAAATGTTCTAAAATTAAAATTGGAGTTCTAATCATAGCTTGTATATTATTCTAGGATAAATTACAACCACTCTTGAGGTATGGTCAAATTATGAAGAAAAAAACCCTCTTGTTTGGATGATTACATCTACCCCTCAACTATGTATTTTCTTACATTTCCACCCTTATGGTGTCAAATTCAACATAATCATCTAGTTTGTACTCATTTTGTGCTACCATGCAGTTTATGATGCACCACAATCTGATATATACAAGCCAAAAAACACATATTAAGATCATCGACCTAGCTTCAAAATGTGGAGATCGAATGGGATAAAACGGGTACAAAATTATTGAGTATTCCATATAATCTAGAAAATTCCATTAAATTTGAAACCGCAAGGGTGGACGTGTAAGAAGATTTATAGTTGAGAGGGGGTAGTTATAATTACCCAAACATGAGGATTTTTTTTGTAATTTGACCATACTTCATGGAATGGTTGTAATTTACCCTATTATTCTATATAATATTAATATTAAAAACTTATTTGACATTAATTCTAAATTTTCGCATTTTAATTATACTTTGTCCGGTTCAGCCGCGATGCAGTCACAATACAATCGCAATGTTGCAATAGAACTGGAACGGCGGTGACTGCAACGACAGACCGCGACGTTCTGGCGAACCATAGGTGTAACTCCCTTGTTGATTATTTATTAGGGGTAATGACAAATAGGCCCATGACAAGGGCACTTAATTAAAAGAGGAACATCCAACTTTTTTGTCTCTCAAATAAATCCACCCCATTCAAACTTATTTGCAAATAAGAAAAATCTCTTTATATATACCAAAATTACCCACAATTCAATGAAACCCAATTCAACTCCAATTTCATGATTTACACCCCAATTTAGCTCAATAACCAATTAACCAATTTTAACCCTAATTTCAATTTTGACCCCAATTTTGACCCGCCACCACCGGAGACCGCCGGTCGCCACCGTTGACCGGCGTTGACCGCTGGAGACCGGCGGTCTCCGGCGTTGACTTTTTTTTTTTTTGAAAAACTTTTTTTTTTCCTGAAATTTTTTCCAGCCGGTCAACTGCCGTTGACCGCCGGGTCTCCGGCGTTGACATTTTTTTTTATATAATTTTGTTTTTTCTTAAAAAAATATTTTAATTAATATTACTGTCTTGGCTGCTAAATTACTGTCTCTGACAGTTATTTAACTGTCGGAGACAGTAATTTAACTGTTAATTGACTTTTTTTTTCTTCAAAAATATTATAATTAATATTACTGTATTCGTTGCTAAATTACTGTCTTCAGCAGTTATTTAACTGTTGGAGAGAGTAATTCCACTGTTAATTGACTTTTTTATTCTTAAAAAAATATTTTTAATTAATATTACTGTATTCGTTGCTAAATTACTGTCTCCAGCAGTTATTTAACTGCCGAAGACAGTAATTTAACTGTTAATTGACTTTTCGTTTTTTTTTCTTAATTTTTTTTTTATTATTATTACTGCCTTGGATGCTAAATTACTGTCTCCAACAGTAATTTAACTGTCTTAGACAATAATATTAATAATATTACTGTTCGGGAAATAATATTCATAATATTACTGTCCCAAAGAGTAATATTACTGTCTGAGACAGTAATTTAGTAGCCAAAACAGTAATATTAATTATAATATTTTTTTTCTAAGAAAAAAAAATTCAAAAAGAAAAAAAAAAGTCAACGCCGGAAACTGGCCGGAAAAAAAATATTTCAGAAAAAAAATTATTTTCTAAAAAAAAAAAGTTTTGGGGTTAATGTGATATATTTGTTTAAATCCAGGGTCAATATGTAATATTAAGAAAGTTAGAACATAATGGGTGGAATTGATAAGAATTATATTATTGAGGATATTTTAGACTAAAGACATGGAGATGAGTTTAATTTAGAGACTGTTTTTTTTTTTGATCAAAATGCATTTAAGTCCCATGTGATGGACCTTTTTGCCATTCGCCCTATTTATTATTGTACCATAGAAACTTTGGCAAAGATGTATTTCTTATTTCGGAAAAAAAAAAAGAAAAAAAAAAGTTGATCAACAGTGTTTCAATTAGTAATACCTCTCGTATTTTAATATACTTCAATTTCATATATTTAATTCTAATTTAACCAATTATTCAATTTTGACTCCTAACCATATTTTTAACGTCATCATTGACCGTCGATCTCCGTCATTAGCTTTTCTTTTTTTGAAAACATTTCTTTCGTCACCGCTGCTGACCAACGGTGTTAGTTATTTTTTTTCCCCCCCGCTGACCAATGAGTACTCTAAGCAGATAATTAGGTTGTTTGGAGTTGATATTTCTGTTCATCCAAACACCCCCCAAGAAGATCCTGTTACACCACCGGAATCTTCTTCTTCTCCTACTCCGGCCGCCGTTAGCAGCCCAATTAGTACCGTTTTGTCACTTTATAATAATCAAGAAAAGCATGTCCCAGATCAATCTCTTGTTCCTGCCGCCGCCGCCGCCGGAAGCCGCCCTTCTTCCGACAAAGTTCCTGCAAAATCTCCCGCCAAGAAAACGGCGGCACCAGCGGCTCCGGAGGAGTTTCGTGAATTCGACATTATCGATTATTATCCGATGATGGCGTGTGGTGATTTTCGTCCAGTTATCTTCTTCACCGCACCAGAGGAAGTTGGTTGTTCTTCACGTGGTGGACCCCCCATTATCAACGACGACGTCGGTGCAACTTCTGATCCAAAGGCGGATAATAAATCCTCATCAGATTTATTAATAATAAGAAGCCCCAGCCCTGACGACGTCGTTTCAAGAAAACCCCAGTCCAAGAAAAGGGTTTCTGGAACTGCAACTTATACTCATGACGTCAGCCCTTTATTAAAGAAGAAGGCGAAAGTAATATCCAATGAAATTGTACTCTACAGTCCAAAGCCACTTCAATCTTTTCCTCCGTCCATGAATCGTCACCATGACGTAAGCCCTAATCATAACGGCCGATGGGAAGAAAAGAAGAAGGTGAAGGGGAAATTAATAATAACCGACGAAGAGAATGTTTCCGAACCAGCGCCTGTACGGAAGATCAAGAGAACAATTAGGCGCCGGGATAAGACTTTATTCATCCGCGGCGAGTCATCATCGTCATCGATACCGGATACTGTTCTTCCACTAGAGGAGATTCCAGGTATGATTGAGACGATCGAGTCACACAACGGAAGTAAACCGGTTTTCTTGTACCACAAGAAACTCGAAACATCCGATGTGTGGGACCACCTCAACAGATTGAACATCAACACCCCTGAAATCTTGATGAGTCTTCTGAGAGACGAAGAGAGGATAGCTGTAACCGAGACGAGAATAGGAGTTCAATGTATCGGGATCGATAAAGGAGGCAGATCGTTTAACCTGCACTTGGGGAAGTGGCCAAGCTTGCAGATGATTGTTATTAACAAACAATGGGGCAGGATAGTCAACGCGAACAACGCGGTCAAAGGCGATTGGGTTGAAATTTGGGGGTATCGAGTAAACGGAAGCGACGAGCTTCGGTTGGCGATCAACTTTAGGAAACAAGAAGAAATTGATCAAAGGATGATTGCAGCTGCTGCAGCCTCAACCAGCAGTAGTAGTAGTTCTACTAATTAATGGAGGCACTGCACCATCTCCAATTAGCTAATTAATTATTAATATTAGGGCTTGTTTTTGATTTTGCTTTTTTTTTTTTTTTTTCTTTTTTCTTTTGTTTGTTTGTTTGTTTGTTAATGATTAATATGTGCTTTAGTTTTATCTTCAATGGCAAAGGAAGGGAATTTTTTTATGTTAATGCATGAGTTTCTTCTTTTTCATCAAGAACATTGTTTTATACATATGTCAATAACATAACGTAAAACGGCGGGAAAAGAAGTTCAAAAACAAAAAAGTCAAAATCAGATTTAGGAGTCAAAATTGATGAAATCGAGATTGAATTAAGGTTTAAATCATAAATTGGGTGGATTTAAAAGGTTGGGGCATTTTTGTCCTTTCAGGGTATATATGCAATTTTGCACCTAGTCCCCAAATTTCTGATTCTTTATAACCTACGATTACACAAGTGAACTCCAAAATTAAGGTTATGTTTTTCTCTTCGAAGGCTGCTTTTTAACAAAGGTAAGATTATTTGTGTGTTTCATTCTTTGTGTTTAACATTCAATTGTTGGAGCTACGATTTATGGGTGTTTGAATTTCGACCTTCTTTTCATTTTGTTAGAGGATGGAAAATCAATATGGGTTTATAAATTACCTCCTTTCATTTTGTTACATAAATCGCATATTAGTTTTGTGGGTTCTATATGTTTTCTTTATGCATTCCTTTTCTCCTTTTCCAACTCGTACATTTTAAATCTATGGGAGGGGATCACCGTAACAACTGGTAATCGAAGAAGACACTGAAGATTCTTATGGTTTGGTGACCACGATCTGTGGAATGTGTTAAGAGAAAAAACCCTAATTTTTTTTTTTGTTTTTTTTTTGAAACAAGGGATTGGGAAATCCGTTGGGTTTTTTGTTCAGCGATGCTAATATTTGGGTGGGATTGGTGAAAGGTCGCAAATGCCCTTTAAGTTGATAGAGACATGAGAAAATCGGTGAAAAGTCTTATTTGGGGCAAAGTGCAACTATAACGAAATTTGAAATATGATAGTCTCATTTTTAAATTTGTAAGGGGAAAGTGCAAATACTAGAAATTTCTTTGAGACAAAGGAAAATCAGTGAAACTCGTATAGTATGAACTTAAATAAGTTCTAAAGCAATTGCACATTTGATAAGAATTTGTTATCAAATACTTTCAAACTTGCCGAGTTTGAAAAGTACGTGTGTGATAAATGCACATAAGAGTACATGTTTATGACATGTTAATCATGCGGTGTAATCATGGTATTATCATGAAAACTAATGAAATATTAGTAAAATATTTCAATGTGGAAAATATGGTCCTATTGATGCAAATCTTATAGAGATTAAAATCACTAAGGATTTGATGAATTATTGGAGTCTCATTATGTTGAGACAATGCTAGTCATATTGAATTCGTCAATATAAGACTATAAAGAATAGTGGTGAACAATGGTTCAACTAAAATATTCTTGAAGAGATTGTAGTTTAATGAACTACATGTTGATTGACTCATTGAGAAAGTCAAGTAAATAGGTAATCCTATATGTAAACGTAAATTACATTATAGAAGATATCCAATTGTATTTGAAAAGTAAATTCTTATGAATTGGATATGTGCTACTAAGATACTAAGTCCATAAATCTTGATATTCCTCAAAATAAAGTGGTATAACTCGATTCACTACGGAGTTCGAGTTATAACTTGGAAGTTAAAGAAAAATGTTGGATAACTCCATAATTTTCTAGAGGACATTATGTGATTGACTTAGTTGGTGCTTGAAAATAATTGTAGTAGTCAGTTGGCTATACAAAAGAGCACAAAATAATATATAAAATGGTAAAGTCTCGATCGTAGAGGTAACACCATTTAGCAATTGATTCTAGAGAAATTATAAACGTTGACTTTACGAAGACAAGAGATAATTTGATTTATCCTTGACGAAGGAATCAATAGAGATCAAATGTAGTTAGTGATGAGAATGGGTCTATAAACCCACAACACAAATGAAAATCCATGATGGTAACCCAACCTTGTAGATTGGAGATCCCAAGATCTTGGTTCAATGGGACAACTAAGTTATGGAAATTCAAATCGAGCACTTGGAAATAATTCCTACCATTCCCTAAAATCCAAGTGCTACCTGTCGAATGTGGTAAGGTTAAGTCTAGTGACTTTTAGTGATTCCTATGAGCTTTTAAGGTGGAATACGACAGAGTATTCTTTATGGGAGATCACCTATTTAAGTGTGAAGTATAGGGCCGCTTCAATGAAACACTTATGAATCCAAGAATTGGTCCAAGGCCGAAATGGACAGAACGTGGGAACAAAAGACGTTAGAGATGTTATTGTGTAAGTGTTGTTATCTTGGTTTACACAAAAGTTGATTATAGTTCAAGACATCGCGTTCACTAAGCAACAAGTAAATCCGACAACATTTTACTAAGGAAGGTTCAAAGCCATAAGCTACCTCTCCCGATGCAATAACAAATCGCTTGGACTTTGAATGTGTCTGCATGCATTAATTTCATTCATGTGGGGGATTGTTGGAAATTTTGAGTATTTGACTCAATTTTTGTTGAATGTTTAAGTGGTTTAATTTAAATTCTCAAAATTAATTTTCGATGAATGATAAATTAATGGATCATTTAAAATATTTAAGTGTGGAAAATAATAAAGTGAAATGCCACCATTGAAAAAGATGGAGGTGTTTAAGCACCTATTAGACTGAATAGGTGTGTAGTTAATGAGAAAATGTGTGATACCTTTACATGAAATTATTTTCCTAAGAGTTGTGACTTGTGGTCATAACCTTTAAAAATCTATAAATAGATTCCAAAATCCACCATTTAATTAGTTCATAATTCACATGGAATTCAATACATTAATTGAATTCACTTCTCATCATAGCATCTCATTGCATATTGTTGCATTACCAAGTCCTTTTCTTCGTGTCTTATAAAGTCCTAAACGTCGTTTCGTTCCCCGTGTTTCAATAATTATTGTGCTGCTTTGTTGGAACTGAAATAGTCGTTGTATCTTGGGAGACAATTGCCGTAACCGAGAGCACTGCACGGGGGAAATTTGTCTTAAGGAGAAAGAACCTGGTTCTTGCCTCGACTACATTTTTCTTGTCAAACTTTTGTCCAAATTTTGTTCATTCCCATTTCAAAATACACACACCCTTATAACAATCTTAAGACAAACTTTTAGTTGTATTTTCGAGATGAAGAAGAAGATATTCCACTTAAAATCCAAGAAGTAACGAAATCAAACTGGAGGAGAATGTCATTTTCGGACAGAACACAACGTCTATGTTCCAGCCCATTTTCGGAGGTGATACGGCCAGAATCTGCAAAAGTACCACACAAAAGTTGTAGAAAATCAAGTTAGCTTTCCATAACTTGTTAAGTCACCCCAATCGAAGTTCATATGGAGAAGTTATGATGAAAACACGAAAGGGTGCCAGAATTGCCAACACAACTTTTCATGAATAATGCAACCGTTCGTGAGGCGATGCAACCCCAGCGTACCAAACACTTCATGGTGCACAAAATTTTGGTGAAAGAAGACCAAATCGAAGAATAATGATGGAATCATACCATAAATATGATGAGGTTTTATATTATTCTCAATTCTTGAATATTATTTAATATTTTCATGGTTCCATTGTAGGTGCAATTTTATACAGCACACATACTTCGACTTGGAGGCTTAATTTGATCATGATCCAATCCGAATCTAGGAAATCGTGAAAGACGAAAGTTGTAGGAAATTTCGTTGGCTATTCGGATCATATTGAATCAACAAAATCGGACATCGGATGCTAAAGATATGCTTAAGTTTTTCAGTGCTGCCAAAACTACCAATGCATTCCTTATGCGAGAATTTCAAATTCGTCTCAGAAGTTTAAAACGACTCGTTTATAATTATTTCGGGTACGCCTTTTCATTTAAAACTATATCTCATGCAATTAAGTGATAATATTATATGATAAATAATATGGTATTATATGAGATAGAAACATGGTTATGTTGCATGATAATGTTATGGCGTAATTATATTGCACTATATGTTATAATTGGCATGATAACATTATTTATGAGAGCATGATAAATTTTTAATGCTCGAGGAATGTATAGCTACTAAGAGTGCTATTAAATGTTTGATGCCTAGAGATGATTGTATTACTCTTGATATATGCATGAGATTTTGCTGAAATTCGTATGCATAATTTAAATTAATTAGTGGATAATATTATGAGATGTTAATGTAATAATATTTTTTTATGATATGTTATATTATTTATATGATGTCTATGTCAATGGGTACATAGAATTAGAAGCATATAATATATGTTTGTTGAAGTATAATTTTTATGCATTGGAATTTATGTTATAGTACGTAATTAAATTATATGAATATTTATGCTATGAATATAAATGGTTTTCAGCATGTATATTGATGTTTAATCGGATAATGAATTATTGTATGTATGAACGGATTATTTATTCCTTCTTAATTTTGAAATGCTTATGTACATACAAGTATTTTGTATGCATGTGAATATTTGGAATTATGTAATTATGATTACGTGTATATATGTTGTTAAATTTGGGGCTAGGGAATGACGTGTCATGATTATGAGTAAGTTTTTTAAGGTTTAAAAATTTGCAATCTAGTCCTAATTGTTTTTTAATTTCCCTTAAAGTAAACAGACAACTTTATAACTTACATTTTCACCCTTAACTCTACTTCTCATGGTTTAAAAAAAATGTTCTAAATTAAAATCGGATTGTTGAGAACTGATCACCGACGACAATGCATATTTGTGAAATTACTACTGATTTACTAAACTCAAATATAGACTGTAAGAAAGATACCCATCGAATGCCAGATCATTATAAAAAAAGGGAAGTAAATTGATTTAATATTTTCAAATATTTCGTACAATTATAATATTTTCAGATTCGTATAATTAAGGAAACATTCCTTAATTACATATATAGTTTAGATTGCAAGTAGAAGAAGTAGATTCGAATTAGGAAGTAAATTTTGTATATGAAAACGATGTCCAATTCTAATAAGGAAACCCAAATACTTCCTTATATGTAATTACAAAAAAACCCATTGCCCTACTTGCTTATATATATAATATTCTAATAAGGAAACCCAAATACTTCCTTATATACATAATTACAGAAAAACCCATTGCCCTACTTGCTTATATATACCCATGCACCTCCATTATAAACTCATTACCCATCGCAATTAAGAGAAAACAAATCACAAATTCATAAGCATTATATTAATTAATCTCATTAATGGAGATCAAAGAGTACTCTAAGCAGATAATTAGGTTGTTTGGAGTTGATATTTCTGTTCATCCAAACACCCCCCAAGAAGATCCTGTTACACCACCGGAATCTTCTTCTTCTCCTACTCCGGCCGCCGTTAGCAGCCCAATTAGTACCGTTTTGTCACTTTATAATAATCAAGAAAAGCATGTCCCAGATCAATCTCTTGTTCCTGCCGCCGCCGCCGCCGGAAGCCGCCCTTCTTCCGACAAAGTTCCTGCAAAATCTCCCGCCAAGAAAACGGCGGCACCAGCGGCTCCGGAGGAGTTTCGTGAATTCGACATTATCGATTATTATCCGATGATGGCGTGTGGTGATTTTCGTCCAGTTATCTTCTTCACCGCACCAGAGGAAGTTGGTTGTTCTTCACGTGGTGGACCCCCCATTATCAACGACGACGTCGGTGCAACTTCTGATCCAAAGGCGGATAATAAATCCTCATCAGATTTATTAATAATAAGAAGCCCCAGCCCTGACGACGTCGTTTCAAGAAAACCCCAGTCCAAGAAAAGGGTTTCTGGAACTGCAACTTATACTCATGACGTCAGCCCTTTATTAAAGAAGAAGGCGAAAGTAATATCCAATGAAATTGTACTCTACAGTCCAAAGCCACTTCAATCTTTTCCTCCGTCCATGAATCGTCACCATGACGTAAGCCCTAATCATAACGGCCGATGGGAAGAAAAGAAGAAGGTGAAGGGGAAATTAATAATAACCGACGAAGAGAATGTTTCCGAACCAGCGCCTGTACGGAAGATCAAGAGAACAATTAGGCGCCGGGATAAGACTTTATTCATCCGCGGCGAGTCATCATCGTCATCGATACCGGATACTGTTCTTCCACTAGAGGAGATTCCAGGTATGATTGAGACGATCGAGTCACACAACGGAAGTAAACCGGTTTTCTTGTACCACAAGAAACTCGAAACATCCGATGTGTGGGACCACCTCAACAGATTGAACATCAACACCCCTGAAATCTTGATGAGTCTTCTGAGAGACGAAGAGAGGATAGCTGTAACCGAGACGAGAATAGGAGTTCAATGTATCGGGATCGATAAAGGAGGCAGATCGTTTAACCTGCACTTGGGGAAGTGGCCAAGCTTGCAGATGATTGTTATTAACAAACAATGGGGCAGGATAGTCAACGCGAACAACGCGGTCAAAGGCGATTGGGTTGAAATTTGGGGGTATCGAGTAAACGGAAGCGACGAGCTTCGGTTGGCGATCAACTTTAGGAAACAAGAAGAAATTGATCAAAGGATGATTGCAGCTGCTGCAGCCTCAACCAGCAGTAGTAGTAGTTCTACTAATTAATGGAGGCACTGCACCATCTCCAATTAGCTAATTAATTATTAATATTAGGGTTTGTGTTTTGATTTTGCCTTTTCTTTTTCTTTTTTTTTCTGTTTATTTGTTAAATGATTAATATGTGTTTTTTGTTTGTTAATGAATATTATTAATTGATATTAGGTTTTACATTTTGATTTCGCTTCTGTATTTTTTTTTTTGTGTTTGTTTGTTTGTTAATGATTAATATGTGCTTTCGTCTTCATTGGCAAATGATCGGAAGAGAAAGATTTTATCTTAATACATGAGTTTCTTCGTTTTCATCAAGAACATTGTTATATATATATCAGTCACACAACATAAATCAATGGTGGGAAAAGAAGTTTCAAAAACAAAAACGTCAAAATTGGATTTAGCGGTCAAAATTGATAAAATTGGGATTGAATTAGGGTTTGAATCATAAATTGGGTGGATTTAGATGGTTGGGATAATTTTGTTATAAATATTAGGATATTAACGATAAAAGGAGCGTGGACTTATTTGCGAAAGAGAACTAAAAGTTGAACCTAGATTAATGATGAACCCAACTTTTCGGCAACCTTCGTATAAAACGCCTTTTAATTATTCAATTTGATAGTCATTTTTAGGGTGAAAGTCTGATTGAACATAAATGAATTAACCTTTTCGAAAAGTTTTCAATCTTTTTAGGGAGTACAAAATTAATTCTTCTTCCAATTCAAAAAAAATTAATCTAAAAATTCATTCCATTCAAATAATTATGCAAATTTCTAAAATGTTTGAAATTTGAGATATCCCATTAGTTTTAAAATTTCAAAAAACTTCAAAAAAAAAAAATCAGAAACTTCCATAAATTTCGATAATATTTGAAAATTAAATTTTATTAATTTTTTTTAGTATACTTAATATTATTTAAAAAAAAATAATTATAAATAATAATTTAAATTTTTAATTGTTTTCCTTATCCAAAACAAGTTTAAATTTCAATTTTGGCTCCAAAATAGTGTTTTCCGTTAGATGTGAACGGACGTGATGGAGGGGACCAAATGTGTTTAAAATTGAAGCTTGGAGGTGAAATTTGTTCGCTCTGGAACAAGGGGACCAAAAGTGGAATCGGACCAACCATGAGGAACCAAATGTAAAATCGTTACAAACTTGAAATACAAAAACTGTAATTTTGACAATAGGCATCAGGGCGGACCCATGTGGAGACTGGGGGCTCCCGGCCCTGTAGATTTATTCTTTTTACCTATTTACTACGACTAATTTTTTGTTTTGTTTTGTTTTGGTATTTATCCATTAATTTATAGACTTTGGCACCCAAGATTTAAATTTTGTATACTTTTAGTCCATAAATATATTTTTCCTTCTCTTAATCCACCCCTACATTTTAGCCCCACCAAAAAGCCCCTAAGTCCGCCCCAATAAGCATGTTACTAACATAAAATAATTTAGAACAAAATGCACTTCACCCCTTAGAAATTTCTAGTTTTTGCACTTTCCTCCCCTAAAATTTAAAAAATGAGACATTCCCCTTCCAAATTATTTATAGTTGCATTTTGCCTCAAATGGGACTTTCCGGCGTATTTTTCACCAGTTTTTTCTTTTCATATTTCCTTCAACTTGAAGGGCATGTTCGTCCATTCACCAATCCCACCCTGATATTATAGCAACCACTGGTACCGTCACAATTCAGGCCAATTTCTCCTCCCTAACATCTCTCTCAGAAGCACTGACTGAACTCTAGGTACCACCGTTGAAATCCCCACTTCAATCCTTCCACAACGCGCTCCTTCAACAACGCGTTGGTGGCCACCGATCAATCTCTGGGAAGCTTAATGTGGCATGACATATATGATGCACCCACCACCATGTGAGTTGTGACGCCAGCGGCGTCGACCACCGTCGTTTCCAGCAGCACATTCTAAATGCTCTCAGTGACCGCAGCCGCGGGCGTCAGCATCACCCCCTTATCTTCCGGTCCATCCGAGGCAGCCCAGATGTGCCTGTTCGCCAACACCTACGACGGTGGCTTCAGGAGGAAACACGGTGCAGGCGCCGCTGCATTTCATGTTGAGGTTCAATTACTCCGACAACCTCGATTTATGAGGCGGAAGATCCAGCCCGTTGCAGCTTGGATATATCGATATTGATGCTGCAACAAACTCAGAACCCATCTCAGCATCTGAATTTTCAACGATATGAATATTTGGGTGATGTTGGTGAAAGGACGAAAATGCCCTTCAAGTTGATTGAGATATTAAAAAGCCGATGAAAAATACATCAAAAAGTCCCATTTGGGGCAAAGTGCAACTATAATAAAATTTTGAAGGGGGAGAGTCTCATTCTTGAAATTGTAGAGGGGAAAGTGCGAAAACAAAAAAATTCTAGGGAGCGAAGTGAATTTGGTTTTTAATGTCCACGATCTCTCAAGTCTGGAAACAACTTGTACAAACCATTGTTTTGGTTGTTAAACAAGAAACAACTTTCCAGCTGTTTGATATATTCAATATTTTAAATATACTTTATTTATATTATTGAAATACATAAAAAATAAACAAGATGCATGTCAATCAAACATAAAAAACCCTACTAATGGTCAGCACGTCTCATGATTCCCCCCTGTAATAGAATTCGTCTCATGAGATTCCAGTACATCAATATGTCTGGTAAGATTCCTCAAAAGCCAGTAGCAATAATAAATTAATAATTATATACAAACATATATACACATATATATATGAGATTGGAATCATGCATTTCAGATTCTCATCAATATCTTGAGCTACCAATTATTTAGAGTGAGTTGTCTGCATCATGTTTTCGAGAGGAGCGAAGGAGAGAGACGCGATAGAAAAGAAAGGACACCATTTCAGCCACCCGCACCCATTGAAGCCGATCGCCTATCAACAAACCCTAAACCTAACTTCACCATGCGCGGCATGCAAGCTCAAACCCTCAGGTATGATCTACACGTGCACAGTTTGCAAAGATTACTTCCTTCACAAGCAATGCTTTGAAATGCCGAGGAAAATAGATCACCTCTGTCACGAGAAACCCTTAACCCTTCTTCCTAAGACCGGATACGCCAAAGGCTACTTCGTGTGCGACGGCTGCGGCCAAACTGGCGACGGCTTCTCCTACAACTGCGACCCTTGCGGATATGATCTGCACATGCTGTGCGCGCTCATGCCGCTGTTCGCCACCCACGAATCCCACGTGCACAAGCTCGATCTTACGTTCGAGTCACCGGAACCTACCAAGAGTTTCGCCTGCGGGATATGCGGGAACCCTGGCTCACGCCAGTTATGGCTTTACAGGTGCAAGTTGTGTGAGTTTAATGCGCATCTCAACTGTGCTAGAGGTCTACTTCAGCCTTCATCGGAGCAGCCAACGAAGGACACGAGTTTCAATACCGGTTCTGACGAGTCGCCCAAGACACCGCCTGAGACGGCGGCGGCAACGGGATCTAGATTGGCTCCGTCCGTGCCTATACAACAGCAGAAGCAGCAGCAACAACAGCAGAATATTATGAATGATGTACCCAAGAATGATTTGGCACTTTTGGCCGTTCAGAAAATGATTGTTAGCAGAAGTAACGGCATAGCTCAGGCAGTTCAGCAAATGATTGTCAACAATAGTGACGCCATAGCTCAGGGAATACTGACTTCTGGGAGCGGTAATGGAGGCGGAGGGTTTGGTGGGGAATCCGGAGAGAAGAGAGAATTGCATTTGCTAACTGAATTAATATGTATACTTACTAACGGTGGCGGTGGTGGTGGCGGCGGCCAAAACCCAGTAAACAACAGTGGTGGTGGTGGTGGTGGTAGAAGAGACTCTGCGCGATCTTTACCGGGTGATGGAAATGCATGGTATTGAAATTCTTGGAGGAATTTGTTTGTGTTTTTTTTTCTTTTTTTCTTTCCTAGTTCTGTATTAATGTGGGATTTGCTTTCCTTGCTTTGTTGGTTTTATTGGGGTTTTTTTGCAAAAAAATATCCATATGTAATCTCTAATTGATAAAAAACACATGTGTTAAAAGAGTTTGCAAGAACACCTCTGTGACAAATAGTCAAAGCCACAAAAAGCCCTAATAACTTATCGTGTGATGAACGTGTGGATTGTGGGAGTAGAACTGTATGTCTTGATTTGAAAAGTCAAAATTACCCTATCAAATTCTTTTTGTTTCCTTTTTTTTTTTTAATAGGGCAAATGGCAAATAGGATAAAACAAATTTAAATTCACATTGGTCCACATAAAAACTGTGTTTTAAATGAAGTCATCCCGAGATAATTACATGTTTCGTCCTTATACTTTATCACTTATTCGTTTTTCGTCCCTAAACAAGTTGGAGTGACATTATTCGTCCCTAAACATGCCATTTTTTAGCAGTTTCCGTCCTGCCGTTAATTCTTGCAGTTACTTTGGATGGAAATCTGGCGTGAACCTGAAAATCTTAATATATGCTGCTGACATGGACGATTAATCCACGTGGCCACTCACATGTATGCTGCTGTTGATATGCTTCCTGAAACCAACTCATATTAACTCAAATTACTCATGCATTAGCACCAAACAAGACTCAACTTTAAACTTTGCTAGAGAGAACGAGCCACCATGCACATTCCATTTCAACTTTGCAAACGAGCCACCACCATGCAAGAGACCCATCCCACCTAATTAAGAGGAAATTCGCAGAATTGAATATGAACGATACAAATGTTGTATAAATAATATTTATTTTGACTTTGCATGAAATTTCCATATTTGAACTCAAAACATACAGTGAAATAACCTTTTGCAATTTGTGTGCATACACACACTTTAGAATTAATGAAAATAGAAGACATGCAACTACATCTAATATTTTTTTTCTATTCAATATTATTAGACACGATTGAAGATTGCATCAATCAAAAACAAGTTTAAATAATATAGGATTAATATCCCCTACACCGGCCATGACAATTTTTTTGTTTAAATGAGTAGTTAACTCCAATTGGGATTTCGTCCAATATAAATTAATGACTAATAAGGTTAGGCAATCTAAATTAAAGTTTACAAAATTGCAAATCGGGCAAATCCTCAATATGTAACAAAACAAAGAATTCTTGTTGAGTAGCTTAACATATTATAAATTTCATTAAAAAAATCCAAATATATTAATTAACATCTTCGCTTCGAAGAAAAACATCATTCAAAATATAAATTGCATTGCATCAGATTTTTGTATGATGGAAAAAATTGTCTTTTGGGGATTATTGAGGGTATTTACGAGTCCAAAGAGGCGTGATATTGAAGAAATTAGCCATATGGAAAAGAAGGCTTATGTTCTAAAGAAGATGCAATCTGAAATTGAAGAGAGGGGTTGACTCTTACGTATCATGTGCGAAGCACATGTTATTTTCCGTCCAAACTAACCAGCCAAATTGACGGAGGGACGAAATTAGCAGAAAAATGGCATGTTTAGGGATGAATAATGTCACTCCAACTTGTTTAAGGACGAAAAACGAATAAGTGGTAAAGTATAGGGACGAAAAGTGTAATTATCCCTCCCATGCCTTTAGTCTAAAATACCATCCATACTATAATCTTCATCAATTCCATTCATTATATTCTAATTTCCTCAATATTACACATTGACCCTGGATTTAAACAAAAATATATCACATAATCCCCCATTTAAATAATTTTTTTGAAAAAAATATCTTTTTCAGAAATTAATTTTTTTTCTAAATTTTTTTTTTCCGGCCAGATTCCGGCATTGACCTTTTTTTTTCTTCTGAATTTTTTTTGACAGGTCAACTGTTTTTTACCACCAGTCTCCGGCGTTGACTTTTTTTTTTGAATTTTTTTCTTAAAAAAAATGGTAAATACAACCACCCTCTTGAAGTATGGTCAAATTACGAAAATCCCCTCCTGTTTGGGTAATTACAACCGCCCCTCAACTATAAATCTTCTTACACGTTCACCCTTGCGGTTTTGAATCTTCGAGATTATATGACATATTATCACTTCGTACCCATTTTATCCCATTAAAACTCCACATTTTGAAGCAAGATGATCATAATATGTGTTTTTTGGCTTGTATATAGGAGATTGTGGTGCATCTAAAACTGTATTTTTACACAAAATGATTACAAAGTAGAGCACATTCCAACAAATCTCCAACAAATCTAGATGATTATGTTGAATTTGACACCATAAGGGTGGAGGTGTAAGAATAAATCATAGTCGAGAGAGATAGATGTAATTCTCTAAACAAGAGGGATTTTTTCGTAAATTGACCATACCTCGGGGGTGGTTGTAATTTACCCTAAAAAAATTTGTTTTAATAAGTATTATTGTCCTGGATGCTAAATTATTGTCACCAACAGTAGTTTATACTGTCGGAGATAATAATATTGAATACCAAAACAGTTATATTACTGTCCCAAGCAATAAAATTACTGTCTCACACAGTAATATTAATGTTTTGGGACAGTAATATTATGAATATTACTTTCCCGAAAAGTAATATTACTATCTCAAACAGTGACAACAAAATTGCAGGCCAAGACGATAAAATTAATTAATACAGTAAAATTACTGTCTCGGACGGTAATATTACTGTCTTAGACAGTTAAGTTACTGTTGGTGACAATAATTTAGCAGCTAAGACCGTAATATTAATTAAAATATTTTTTTAAGGAAAAAACAAAATTTCAAAAAAGAAAAAAGTCAATTAATAGTTAATTTAATGTTGGAGACAATAATTTAGCAGGCAAAGACATTAATATTAATTAAAATATTTTTTTTAAGACAACAAAATTTCAAAAAAAAAAAAGTCAATTAACAGTTAAATTACTGTCTCCGCCAATTAAATTACTATTGGAGACAGTAACTTAGCAGCCAAGACAGTAATATTAATTGAAATAACTTTTTTTAAGGAAAACAATAATCAACGCCGGAGACCCATCGGTCAACGGTGGTTGACCTGCCGGAAAAAAAAAATCAAAAAAAAAAGGTTTTCAAAAGAAAAAAAAAAAAGAAGTCAACGCCAGAGACCGCAGGTCTCCGGCGTTCAACGATGGCTGACTAGCGGTCTCCGGTGGTGGCGGGTCAAAATTGGAGTCAACATTGGAATAATGGTCAAAATTAGTTAATTGGTGAAATTGTGCTAAATTGGGGTGTAAATCATGAAATTAGAGTTGAATTGAGTTTCAAGGAATTGGGGGTAATTTTGGTATATATAAAAGAATTTTCCTTATTTACAAAAACTGAATAAGTTTGAATTAGCTGGATTTATTTGAAAGAAAATTGCATGTCCTTTTTTCAATTGAGTACCTTTGTCATGGTCCTCTTTGTCATTAATCATTTTTAATATTTCTTTTGTAAGGGTAATTTCGCCATTTCATAAAATTCAACAATAAATTTCAAAATTAGGACCGGTGTGCTTTAAAAACCACAACATGGGGAACTTCTTGTTAATTTTTTTAACACAAGGGTTTTTTTTGGCAATTATAAACAACACACGGAGGTATGTGCTATAAGCTTGTTTTATTGGTGTAAATTTATTGTTGCTTATAGATTTGTTCACTAAGCTTATGGGCTTGCATTTTTATTTTATTTTGGAGTAAAGTACAAAAAGTATCCCCGTGTAATCTTTAAATAGTAAAAAACTCCATGCGAGACATAAACTAGCAGAAAAATCCTATGAAAATATTTAAATAACACATTCGACCTATTGTGGTTTTAATCATTGACTAAACGTGAAAAGACAAATATACTTTTCAATAAAATAATACAAAATAGTGTTCAAATTGAAATAAGAAAAGAGGCCAAATTGCAATTTATGCTAAATTTTCGAAACTTAAATAAGGACTTGATTGTAATTTCTCCAAAGAAAATTTTCTGGACTATTTCCATCATCACCACCACACCTCAGCCCTCATGCAGTCCTGCATCATCACGGGGAATACGATGCTACACCCGGTGATTTTCACCGGGTGGCTCTCTTATTGATATGTGTCCTTTTTAATTTATTTTATAATTATATTTCTAAAATCCAATGGGCCATAACTGAACCCGTAGTGAGAATCTTATCAATTAGGGTGCCTGGTTATATTCACCAGGTGTAGCATAAATATTGCCTCGATTTCCTTTTTTTCTTTTTCCCCTGTCCCTCACCACGCAACCTTCAAACAACTCTTATGCCTCGATTTTTCTCAATCCCTCCTGCGCCTCTCCATCCCTCCACCGCGTGCTACGTCGCCTCTCCAACACTCCGTCTTCTTCTCCAGCCCTCCGTGTTTGCTTGATCACTCTATTTTTTCAAATCAGAAGTCAAGCATATGAGGAGAATTCACATTCGAAGTGGTGTGAATATGCAGATCTTTTTCGATTGATTATTTTCAGATTTTTTAGGTGAAGGAGAGGAGAGGAGTGAGGGGCATCATGATGGGCCCTTGTGAGTCTGGTGGTAGCGACGGCGATTAGAGAGCAACAGTGGCGAAACCAGGATTTCATCATGGGGGCCCGAATAAGCATTAAAAAATATAGTAAAAATATTAATGAAAATAATGATTATTCCAACAATCACTAGTACAAAATTTGCTTTTTACTACAATTGTTTGCTACGGTAAAAAGCCGTAATAAAAATGTACTTTTTACCACCGAACAATTTTGAAATTGTAGTAAATACTAAGATTTACCGTAGCAAAAAAATATTTGGTACGACTATTTACTGTAGTAAAGTTTTTATCACGCCCCTACGGGGCAGATTTGTAGCAAATGCGTATCAAAAGCCTTTTTACTACGAATTTGATAACTTTTACTATGGTTAATGATCGTAGTAAAAAACAAATTTTCTACTAATGAATGGTGAATCTAAGATGTTA